GGGGGGAGGTATCTGTGAACTTCCTGCATTGTGTAGGAGGTTGGACTAGATGACCCTGGAGATCCCTTCAACTCTATGATTTTATGATTCGGTGATATTTTTGTTGCTATTCTTTTTTCCTGCTTTGCTGTTGGTAAGAGAACCAAATTATTATGCAGTCTTTAAATGCAGAAGGGGGGGTGTTAAGCTGCTGGACAAGAAAGGCAGTTCTGAACGATGCCTGGATGGCCCTCTATAAGAAGTGAACGGGATGGTGGACAGTCACAATTTTGGCCAGAGTTTTCTCAGCTATGGTGGCCAACAGCCTGGAGGAAGAAGAAATCCCATCCCTGGAAAGAGGCAGGTGAAGGTTTTGATGGCAAGGGAAGAAAGTAACATCATCTGGTAAACAACATCCCATCAAGCCTCTATTAAAAAGAGAGGTCATTTTTCTTCAGGGATGTTGGCAACCCTCGCCTCAGTTTAACCTACCTCACAGGCTTGTTGTGAAGATCATTTAATTGGAGGAAGGGCTTGGGTAGGATAAACTCAGAACGGTTATTGGTTGTTTGGGTTTTGTTTTATTAGCTCGATGCATTTTTACCAAAGTCCGAAAGCAAAGGTTAAATTTCAAATACCTGCAAACATGGGTGCGGAGTGAACCCCCCAAAAGGGACGTAGTGATACCTGATCCCTTCCTCCAAACCAACCTTTTCCATGCCACCTCGGTAGATTACCCCTCCATCCCCCCTTTCTCCTCACCTGGGACTGAGTAAAAGTGGGAACAGGGCGGAATGAGCATTAAACAAATAATATTACTGCTAAAAATAGTGGGATCCATTAAAGGCACTCCAGAACAATACTTTGGAAATCAAAATGGGGAAATATTGTGCATTTATTAACCCTTTCCAAGCCAAAATGCCGCTGGAACCCACAGAAGGGGACAGAAAGATTAAACAAATAATAGTACACTAAATACAGTGGGATCAGTCCTGCCCTCCCCCTCATGATCTGCCTAAGTTCACAGAATCAGCATTGCTGTCAGATGGCCATCCAGCTTCTGTTTAAAAACCTCCAAAGAAGGAGAGCCCATCACCCCCGGAGGAAGCCTGTTCCACTGAGGAACAGCTCTGTCAGGAAGTTCTTCCTAATGTTTAGCCGAAAATTCTTTTCATTTAATTTCAACCTGTTGGTTCTGGTTCAGCCATCTGGGGCAACAGAGAACAACTTCATACCATCCTCTATATTTTTTTTCTTTTTTTTTACAGAAGGGCAGATTTATTGGTTAGCTATAACTTAAACGGTGTTCGGGGGGGTGCTACGTGTCCGGTTTGCGCTCTGCCTCTTGTTCTTGCGGGGGGGACTGGATCTGCAGTTCATCGTCCAGCCGCTCCTTGGCTCGCACAACCTTGGACTGCAGGTAGAAGGAGCCCCCCATGGATTTGTGGTTCACTTTAAATAAATGCTCGTAGTTCTTCTGGATTTCCTCTGGGTTCAGTTTGGAGACGTTGAGTATCCGCTGGGCCTCCTGGAGGCTGATCCCGGAGATGCTGAAGGCTGCCGCAGAACGAGACCCCGCAGAGCTCTCTCGGGCACCCGCGACCGCTTGCCTGGCTGCAAACTCCTGCCGCCAGGGCCGGCTCACCTACTAGGCGAACTAGGCATTCGCCTAGAGCACCGGGCCCTGGATGGGGCGCCAAGCTGTGCCTCCCCCCTCCTCCCCCCCTTTGGTGGTGGCGGCGGCGGGGGGGAAGAGCCGGTGGTGGCAGCAGCAAATGGGTGGCTGGCTCCAGAGGTCTCCAGGTGTTCAGGCCCCACCGGGAGGTTGGCATCTGCGCCACAAGGCAGCCTCGCCTAGGGTGCAGAAACACCTCGAGCCGGCCCTGCCTGCCGCAGAGCCCGGGCAAACGCCTGGCCCACCACCTGCATACCCACCAGGACAATCTGGGCCAGGTACTTGGCCATGCTGCTACTGGTGCTCCTGCTGCAGCCGCCGCTGGGGCGGGCGGGCAAAGTCAGGGTCCCGGGGAGGCACATGCGCGCAGCGCCCAGGCGAGGAGGGCACCATGGAGGTGGAGCGGCAGGAAGCCATACCATCCTCTATATGACAGCCCTTCGAGTACTTAAAGATGGTTATCATATCACCTCTGTCATCTCCTCTCCAGGTTAAACATACTGAGTTCTTTCAAAGACTGCTATCAAAACTGTTAAATAAAGGAAATACTGTAAGGCTGTTAAAGATATAAGCGGGCTGTTAAAGATATAAGCGTGGTTGTATTTTGAGCAAAAAATATTGTTAATTGGGTTTGCCTGTGTCCTTTCTGAAGTTTATATTTCTGGTACTTGGCATTACATTTTATGGCACACATGGCCCAGCCTGATTGTAATAATTCCAGAAGCACACCATGTCAGAAGGATTGAAAGTTTTATTGAAACAAAAGCAGAGCCTTTCCTGGCCTCTGCTTGAACAAAAACTAACAACCAATAGAGGAAGTGAAACCAAACTACAGCACAGGCTTTTTGGCCCTATGGGACCAGGAGAAAATAACTATACAGTTCAATAAGAGAACGTCACCAAATTCACAACTTGCCACGACATAACACTGACAAAATGACATTTATATCTGATCCAGGCCTCATAACAAACGAGTAGTTACATCATATCTCTTTATGTGGGTTCTTACATGCTGTTGAGGAGCACCACAGCCAGCTTGGTGTAGTGGTTAAGTGTGCGGACTCTAATCTGGGAGAACGGGGTTTGATTCCCCACTCCTCCACTTGCACCTGCTGGATGACCTTGGGCAAGCCATAGTTCTGATAAGAGCTGTTCTTGAAAAAAGAGCCATTTCTTTCAGAGCTCTCTCAGCCACACCTACCTCACAGGGTGTCTGTTGTGGGGAGGGGAAGGGAAAGGAGTTTGTAAGTCGCTCTGAGACACCTTCAGGTAGTGAAGGGCGGGGTATAAATCCAAACTCTTCTTCTCTTCTTCACTTTGACTGTATCTGTTTGCACACACAGTGCATTCAAAACGTTTTTCCTTTGTACAGGTTCTTAGATGTATTTTAAGAGTGCTACTGTTACTGAATCTCTTCCTACACTCTGAGCATTTACAGGGCTTCTCGCCTGGGTGGGTTCCAGGGGTTCCATTTGGTATATACAAAGCCAAAAGAATACCTGAAAAATACCTTATCAGTATTTTTCAGGTATTTATACAGCAGAATACTATTAAACAACCTGATTTGGCAAGCAAAAATATTTCGGGCCCAACTGATCTGAACAGGAAAAACAATGATTTTATTGTTTGCACACTTCTAGTGAGTTTTTTGTTGGTGTTGAAGACTGCCACTCTGACTGAAGCTATCTGCACACACGTCACTGTGAATTCTTAGAAAGAGAAAGAACTCCGCTGCTTGGGTGCCTAGTAGGTATTCACTTTCCCCCTTTGTATTGTGGCCCTAGCTAGGGTTAAATGTCCTTGTAAACCACTCCGAGCCTCCGGGAAGGAGCGGTATATAAACTGAATGTGTATTGTATATTGTATTGTATTGTATTGTATTGTATTGTATTGTATTGTATTAGATATTTTCGAAGAGTGCTACTGTAACTGCATCTCTTCCCACACTTTTTGCATTCAAAAGCCTTCTCCCTTGTGTAGGCTCTTAGAAACTGTTGAAGACTGCTACTGAGACTGAATCTCTTCCCACAGTTTGAGCATTCCAAAAGCTACTTCCCCATATGGCTTCTTAGATGCTGTTGAAGTGCGCCACTGTGACTGAATCTCTTCCCACACTCTGAGCATCCAAAAGACTTCTCTCCGTGTGGGTACGTTGATGCTTTTAAAGAGTGCCAGTCCAACTGAATCTCTTCTCACACTGAGAACATTTAAAGGGCTTCTCCCCCGTTTGGGTTCTTTGATGCTTTGTCACAAACACACCACCAAACTTGTTCAAGTCATCTGAGTTTCCGCTTCATCCCCCTGAGTTCTTCTGTATACCACGGGGACATTTGATGACAGGAACAGAGAGGACATCAGGGGTTAACCTCATCAATGGCTTCAGAGAGATGGACACTCCAGTCCTCTACCAGCTCATCTAATGAGGCACCAAAAGGCATCAGGTCCCGCTGAGCATTCTGGAAACCAACTGGCTCCATCAGTCTCTGTGGGCTAGCATAAATACGCTTGCTGCCTAGATAAAGGGGGGGAACCCAGTCGGGCCTTCAGGACCAGGTGGTCTGACCATGGCACCTCCTACTGTGACGTCAGATCCACCTTCGTCCCCATGCTAAAGATCAAATCCAGGGTGTGGCCAGCCTGATGTGTGGGGCCTGATACAATTTGGGAAAGCCCCAGTGCTGCCATGGAAGACACTAGATCCGAACTCTGATTCGTGGCACCAATTCCATCCGCAAGGATGTTGAAGTCTCCAAGATAATCTTGGGAACTCCAAGGCCCACTGAGCCACCAATGTGACTGAATATCTTTCCATACTCTGAGTACTCACAACGTTTCTTCCTTGCATAGCTTCTTAGATGCTGTTGAAGAATGCCACTGTGACTGAATCTCTTCTTACACTCTGAGTATTCAAAACGGCTTCTCCCCTGCATGGGCTCTTTGATGCTGTTGAAGAGTGCCACTCTGACTTAATCACTTCCCATATTCTGAGTATTCAAAAGGCTTCTAATGTGTGGATTTGTTGATGCTGTTGTAGAGCAACACTGACTGAATCTCTTCCTACACTCTCAGCATTCAAAGGACTTATCTCTGTGTGGGTTCGCTGATGCTTCAGAAGAGTGCTACTCCAACTGAATCTCTTCCCACACTCAGAACATTCAAAGGGCTTCTCCCCTGTGTGGATTCGTTGATGCTGTTGAAGAGTGCCCTTCCGACGGAATCTCTTCCCACACTCTGAGCATTCAAAGGGCTTCTCCCTTGTGTCGGTTTGTTGATACTGGACAAGAGTCCGATTCTGACTGAATCTCTTCCCACACTCTGAGCAATCAAAGGAGTTCTCCCCTGTGTGGGTTCGTTGATACTGTTGAAAAGTCCCACTGTGACTTAATCTCTTCCCACACTCTGAGCATTGAAAGGGCTTCTCCCCTGTGTGAGTTCGTTGATGATGTTGAAGAGTGCCACGCCAACTGAATCTCTCCCCACACTCTGAGCATTCAAAAGGCTTCTCCCCTGTGTGGGTTCTTTGATGCTGTTGAAGACTGGCCTTCCGACTGAATCTCATTCCACACTCTGAGCATTCAAATGGCTTCTCCCTTGTATGGGTTCTTAGATGCTGTTGCAAATGGCTACTCTGAATGAATGACCTACCACACACCGAGCATTCAAAAGGCTTCTCCCCTGTGTGGATTCTTCGATGCTCTTTAAAATAGCCATTCTCACGGAATCTCTTCCCACAGTCTGAGCATTCAAAAGGTTTCTCCCCTGTGTGGGTTCTTTGATGTCTTCGAAGAATGTTACTGGAACCAAATATCTTCCCACACTCTGAGCATTCAAAGGGTTTCTCCCCTGTATGGATTTGTCGATGTCTTTGACGAGTGCCACTGTGACTGAATCTCTTCTCAGACTCTAAGTATTCCATAGTCTTTTCCCCTGTGTGAGTTCGTCGATGATGTCGAAGAGCACGACTCCAGGTGAATCTCTTCCCACACTCTGAGCATTCAAATGGTTTCTCCCCTGTGTGGATTCTTTGATGCTCTTGAAGATGGGCACTCCGACGGAATCTCTTCCCACACTCTAAGCATTTAAAGGGCCTATCCCCTGTGTGGGTTCTTAGATGAGTTTGAAGACCACTACTCCGACCGAATCTCTTCCCACACTCTGAGCATTCAAAGGGCTTCTCCCCTGTGTGGATTTGTCGATGTGTTTGAAGAGTGCCACTGTGACTGAATCTCCTCCCACAGTCTGAACATTCAAAAGGCTTTTCCCCTGTGTGTATTCGTTGATGCTCTTTAAGATGGCCACTCCAACGGAATCTCTTCCCACACTCTGAACACTCAAAAGGCTTCTCCCCTGTGTGGGTTCGTTGATGCTGTTTAAGACCGCTACTCCAACTGAATCTCTTTCCACACTCTGAGCATTCAAAAGGCTTCTGCCCTGTGTGGGTTTGTTGTTGCAGTTGAAAATGGGCACTCCGAATGAATCTCTTCCCACTCTCTGAGCATTCAAACTGCTTCTCCCCTCTGTGTATCCCTTGGTGGACAATGAGATGTGATCTGTTTCTGAAGTACTTTCCACACTGAAAATATTTATGTGCCTTTATTGTACTGGGCTTTGGCAAGCGTACATTGCACTTTCTTCCATCAGAGAACGCCATTCCAGTTTCTGAGCAGGTAAATCGCTTCTCTCCTGAATGAATCCTTTGGTGCTGAACAAGGTCTGATTTCTCTGAAAAGCTCTTGACACAGTCTGAGCACCTATAAGGTTTTTCCCCTGTATGTGTTCCTTCAGGTTTACGGAGCTCTGCTCTGTGAATCATAGTCTTTCCATTCTCCAGGCATTGATGGGTCTTCTTTCCACCGTGCATTTGTAAATGGACGTTGTATTGGGTTTCATCTGAGATGTTCCTTCCGCACTCCAAGCCCTTGTTTGTTTCTTCTACCATGTTAATGACTTCGTGGAAATCCCCCCCCCGGCCAGGAATGGTTTTTCCCCTCTTCTTGACCAAGTGGCTGCCCATCTGCCTCTTAGGTCTTCCTTGATTCCTGAAGTTTCCCCTCATGTCTCCATTCTGGATTTCATCTGGAGATAGATCATGCAGTTCTTCATCCTCCTCATTCCATTGATCATCCCCTGCTGGAATAAAGAGAGAGATACTCTTAGAAGCCAGGCAAGCAGGTCTAATCTGCACCTGAAGTTCCATCCACACTCCAAATCTTTCAGTGGCTTTTTCCTGCTGTACATTGTAGTATACAATAATATGCACTTTCAAAGTACATTAAAACTGCATCAGAGATGCTTGTTTGGGAGTATGTATAGACTCCCCACTTGTGTGACTTCTTAGACATGAAGGGTGAAGAAATGCATCTCAGGATGGAGGGGTGAATGGAGCAAGACCTTCATTTCGAGTTTTAAAGTGTTTTTTCCCCTCTGTGGGCAGAAAGCAGGCAAAAGACAATGGTATAGTCATCTACTCCCACCCCCAAGCAGGGAACACAGCTCTGGAGGAATAATGACTAAAAAAGATTCAGGTAGAAACTCCAGGAGACTTCAGGGAAAGCTTCTTTGACTCAGCCTGACCTAATCAGTGGGAGGAGGGAAAGAGAAAGAGAGACGATAAGACTCCTGGGAGAAAAGAGGAGTGGCTCTTTTGTGCTCATTCCATTGAGAGAGAGAGAGAGAGAGAGCTCTTGACTAAGGTCTGGAGGAGGCAGCCATTGCCCAGGTGCTTGTTTACACTTGGGCAAGAAGCCTGAAGTTAATGGAACGCCTGTGAAAATCCATAACTTTCTATGCTAAGGAGCCTGCCTTATATTTAACACGGCATTTAGAGAGGGAGATACTTTTTATCCATTTCTTTTGAATCTCTTGCTCAATGTGTGCTGTGCTAAGAGTATGGGCTTTTTCAGACATCCTATGTATTCCGCTTCAGGGACCAGTAACTAACGGAATATTTCTGTCATTTCAGAAAGATCCATTTTAGTAACCGCAGGTTTTTTTGCATACTAGGCGAGGATACCTTCTGCCCACCCACCCCCGTGTGCCCACCAATTTTCAAACATAAATGCATTTTAGCCCAGGAGGATACAAAGAATAAATGGAAACAAGTCTGAAGAAGTGAGCAGTGACTCATAAAAGCACGTCCCTACCACAATTGTGTTAGTCCTTAAAGGTGCTACTGGAGTCTTACTTTTTCTACTGCTATTACAAACCACAACATTAAAAAACCAGTGGGAGGACATTTTAACCTTCTAGGATAATCAGTTGCTGACCTAAGAGTAGCAGTTCTCTTACAAAGGAATTTCAAAGGGAGATTAGAGACTGCTGAATTGCAACAGAATT